AGGATTCTTATCTTAATTACTTCTTTCACAGCTTTTTCAAATTGACCCATGGCACGAATGATAACAACTATAAACTCTCTTTATCTTGTGTACATAGAATCGCTGCAGATAAAGCATTAAATGCAGCGCATCGATTTCTCCATTTAGCATTACTTAAGTTTTCATTGGAAGGATCATTCTAAATAAATTGATAATAGATTGGTTCAAATTTCTCATTAATTAATAGATAAATCAAATAATAACATATCATTGTTCCTCACATGCTCGGATTTTGATTTGACTTTATAAGCAATGTCAATTATTTTTTTTGTCAATTCTTTTGGCTTGATTTCTTTTCCTAAAAAATAAGCTTGAATAATCTCACATGTTTCTGAATAAATTTCCTGGAATGAAATACGAAGAAATAGAACGTAATAAAAAAACTAGTAGCTAAGGAAATACAAAGGAATGACATGCTAAAAAAGTTTAAACCCTATATAAAAAACTGAATGGAAACGTTCAAAACAAAAATATTATATTATATAAAGGATATTTGTAGAAGGGTGAAACGACCTGCTTTTTCATCTATATAATATACAATTTCCAAATCGTTCCTAGGTCTTTCATCCCGATCTAAAAAGTCAACAATTTCTTTTATGTGTCTTTTAAAAAAATCTTTCATAAAAACTTTTGGTCCTCTAAGCAATGCGGTATATAAAAATAAATTTATAATATTTCTATGGTAGTTTGAAAATCTTGGGTTTAAAAAGTACCTATGTTATATCCGTATAAATGTATGTGTATAATAAATATTTCATTTTTATATTATTTTAAATAAAAAATAAATCATTAAATATTCTTACCCATACGCTATATCGGTTATTTCAACAAATTTGAGGCTTGTTAACCTTTTTACCAAACTTTCAAAGGATTGTTGGATTTCCTGTTTATGTACGTGATTTTCTTCACGTATTAATGTAGGAAATAATATTTTGAAAAGGTCAACATCGCATGAATCTGCCATTGCTTTTAGCAATTTATCAAGTATAGAGATATATTCATTAAATCTTTTTCAAACTAAGGAAAAATATAATGATTTATTTAAAATTTTTCAATTAAATCTTCATTTTTTTTTGAAAAAGGATACTTTCTCGTCCCTTGTGGAGGGTAGTCAGCAGACAATAAAGGTAATTGTTCATTTAAAATTTTTTGAACACAAGATTCAATCTAGTTATAAAAAACCAATAATTTAATATAGTTCCACACATATTAATACATTGATAAAATGAAATATTACCTCTTGGAACGGTAAATCAGATAGCAAAAAGGTTGCCAATATATCTAAAGCTTCACCTTTAAATTCTAATTGCTTATTAAATCCAATAAAAGATATATATTTGTTATAAAAAAGTCGTTTAAATTCATTAGACAATGGCTTCGTAAATAAATTAGGGCTCAAGATTAAAAGATCCTTTATTAATTTCAGCAAGTATTGATCATCGTTAATGTTATCAAAACTAAGAAATATTAATCGTAATATAATTAAGTAAGAAAATCATAATAATTAAAATAAATATGTAATTTGAATGATACTTACAAATTCGTCAAAAAGGTAATTTCAGTAGTAAACTAAATTAAAAATTGGAATATTATATATATATATATATATAAGTCAAAACGCAGCTTAAAAAACACAAGTATGTAAATCGTCTTACTTCATTTATAAACTTGTTGATTTTTTCGTTGTCTTTTTTGCTCAACAAATAATCGAACAAGCCCAAAAGAATATCTTTTATGATGGGCTGTGTAACATCCTCGTTGAAAATTGAAGAGAAATTAGAAAATTGCTGTGATATATGTTCATTAATCTAAAGATATTTAATCGTTAATACAACAATATGCAAGTAGAGATAAATAATAGATAATCGACAATATACATTATTAAACATACAAATAATGAGAATTTTTGGTAGTACATGGATCCATCTTTATATGATATTCTAGAAGGGTCATTAGAGAATCCCTAATAAATATCAAAGAAAACATTAATGTGATAATAACAATTATTGGTTTGTTTGTTTTTTTAAAAAAATAAAAATAAAAAAAGTACCAATAAATCACGAAGCAGCCATTTGTTAAATGTATCGTTATTTTGAGAAACTACAAAAGCAAGCAGTTGTCCGGCAAATTCATTCCAAAGGGGATCTTCCATGTTACGTAAAGAAATAAGCATATTCCAAACAGCAATAATATAACTGTAGATCGTTGTGCTAGACGGACCACTTGCTCTGAAAAGTTCAGGAAAGATCCCGGCAGAACTTAGAGTTCTGTATCCTTGAGTCACTTCAATATATTTTACAGGATCTAGATTATAATTAATGTAAACAATTTCAATAACTTCACGTGAATCATCAAACCTTTTTAAATTAAATCATTTTCCTACACATAAATAACAAATAAATATACATGTATGTATGTATGTATGTATATTTATATATATATACCTGATTTTTTAACATCAATACACAATAAATTAAAATTATCAGAAAATGCAACTTCTGCAATTGCTTGTGTCATTTCATCCAAATGATATTGATGATTTGAAAAGGTATCCTTGCACAATTTCAATAATATTTCCAATTTATTTAAAAAGCTATTATGATCAATTTTGTGGATAGAAGAATATTCCAATTCCAAGCTGTTGTAATCGAATAAACAGTTTGCTATCATTTTAAAAAACGATGTACTATAAATTTTAGAGTCCAAGATTATTTTAATTGTTGATGGGGTTGGATTTTTAAGTAAATTCGTTGAAAAATTGATCAAGCTTTCGATACAATAAGCCTTAAGAGCAACCCACTGTATTTTATCGGTTGGTGTTAATATAAATTCAGACAACGCATCATACTCTTCGATATCATCAGTAATATCGATATCCATCCTATCAGTTTTTATGCCGTCATTGTCAATACTTAACACTATTTTCTCTATGAAATAAATCAATGAATCGATAAAAAGCGAAGATGAACTGTTTATCAGAGTTTCTGAATCCACCAATTGTTTATTGATAAGCCAGGTATAATTCTCCAAAATAGACAAGAATTGTAAGCACCATTCTTTAGAATTTTGTAGTATCAAATTAGATTCAAAATCTAGGTGTGGGACAGTAAATCGAGATTGGTACAAGTTTTTCAAATAAAAAGGATCGCTAGCAATCTTGTTAGAAATCCAACGATGGCCACTTTGATAATCTTTATAAAAAATCAAATGTGTGGAAAAAAGCTTTTAACAGGTGATATGATTATTATTTGTTGCATTTATTCGAAAATTGATGAGTTTTTTAGGTTTACCTGGTAACAACACAACAAAATCACAAAATAATTCCCTGCAAATGTTTGCGTAATCCTTTTCCTTTTTTGTAGTTTCGTTGAATAAATATTCTACTAGAGATGATAAATCTGTTTCTTTAAGACAAAATACATTACGTCTTTGATCAGATGTAGTCAAAAATAAGTTAGATTTAACGCAAATGATTTTTTTGATGTGCCTAATCGCCACAATTGCTTGTTGCCGTGTTCCTAATGGGGTTTTTAAAATTTTATATGTATATATACTTTAGTGAGTATATAAATATTTTAAAGTAAAATTTTACGATAAAAATAAATTTACCAGTAGCAACTTGATCTTTATCAGAAAGTTTTAAGTTAAGTAAAATCCAATATAAAAGTTCAAAAATATATATATCAACCAAACTTTCTTCTTCACGGAATGTCCTATAGATGTTATTGATTGACAATGATGCACCAAGACGCCTTGTGTGATCAGGATGTCCACAAAGATTATATATGCGTTTAAATATTGATTTAACATTCATAAGATCGTCTACTTGCTATATAATTATAAAATAAAATAAAATATTAATTAATAAAAAATATAGTGAAGTTACAGTCAACAACAATAATTCATTATTATATTTAAAAAAAAAACAGATACTGAACTGATGATTGTTTAATAGACCATAATAAAAATTCATTCAAACATTTAGCACCATATTCGCGTAATGAGCCCCAAGTATCGCATACTGCATCCAAGCAACAATTTAGTAATGCAATGGTTTCAGGATTTTCATGTTGAGCATTATTGGTGAACCAATGAATCATCTGTGATATTAGCGGACAGAATAGTTTTCTTGGAATTTGATCGGTATCTATGGCCAGTCGAAAAAGTGCAGGAAATACTTTTTTGTATGTGCGATAAAAGGGGCTCTAATATGTTATTAGAAAAAAAAATTATATATATAATTAAGTTTTGTTTTAATAAATTAATGAGATTAGGGTTCAGTCAATCAAACCAACCTGCTGTGGACCAATTCTAGTATGAACTTGATATGCACTTTTACCAATCATAAATAACATTATTGAATGCAAAAGTTCACATGCCACTACTTTTGCTTTTCTATCGGTTGCAGATTCAGAAATTTCTACAATACGTGGTAATAGCTCATCTATAATATTAAAATATACGTATGTATATATTAATTGATTTAATTGAATGTATGTATAAAATTTATGACGAACTATACCAAGTGAGATATCAATTTTGATGTCAGGGTATGGAATACCGAAAATTAATCGTTTTTCAGGATCCCAAGCAAGATAACGATTAAACGATCCGGAATTTTTAGAGATGATTGCACTATTTAGCATTCCAATGTTGTCGATACCTTCAAACATTAATTTACTGTATCCACCAAGTGACCCAAGTAAATGAAGGATACGTATTTGAATATCACGCATTCCAACATTAGTTTCGAAATCGATTGTCTATTATATAAAAATAATATTAATAACAATAATAATAATAAAAATAATATTAATCAAATCATTACTTACGCTTGATTTATTTTGTAATTTTTTTTGCTTTTTTGCTAAACCATTTGGATTATTTGTTGTTTCTGAATTGACCAACAACAAATATTCATTTGTTACAGGCAAAATATATCCAAGCCATCTGCTTAATGCCTCAAGTCCTTTAGTATTAACCAATTTATCAATAGTGTCTAAACTTATTTTTGCAAGTGGTTGGTAGCTTTGACCCATTTTTAATGCAATGCGTATAGGTTGTATAAGATCTTGAACATTGATGAGTTCTTTCGGAAGAGTAAGTACTAATTGAAGGCATGAACATAACAAATCATCTTTGTATTGTGGTAAACGTTCACATACTTCTTTAATGAACTTGCTAAAAAGACGATGGCTATCCAGCCTTATTGATCTAATATTAGAATCAATTTGTTTTTTATGTGATTCTTCATTATTCTATACAAATAAATATTCATTATATGAATATGTGTGCACATAACTGGAAAGTAATAAAAACGATAAAGTTGAATAAATGTTACCTTGCTTTTATGGTTTTGTAATCCATCAAAAAATCCGATCGATTCACACACAGTCAAACATGAACCCAACATCTTGTAAAAACCACTAATATACGGATAACAGGTTGATAATAAAATTAAAGTGTTTCCAACTGTATATACCCATCTCGAGTACAATTGACATCTAACCCTGGGTAAAAATATTTGCCAAAAATCTACTAAATTTTGGAAAATTATAAAGTCTTTTGAAAACACTGGTTTTAAGCTTGAAAGGTCATTGTAACCAGCAATAGCTATTAGATTTACATCAACATTAGAATTAGTAGTATCGACATCAGATTCACTTTGATCAATTACAGTGAAATTTAATTTCTTTGTCATTTTTAAAAAGGCCTGCATAAATTCATCATAAAGAACCGAGAAGAATTCTTTGATAATTATCTTATTTTCTTCTTCATCAATTGTTAGTGATTTTTTGTCAACAACATTCAAGAAAATGGATTCTTTAAAAATCTTTTCCCAAAAATTGATCATTTCCTTATATGTGTGATCTTCCACAACATTAATTATTTCGGATGTTGAAGCGAAGTTTTTAATTGTTGATTGTTGGATTGAATCGGAACATGTTAAGATTAATCCTTTATAAACTATTTGAAAATATATTTTCCTCAGCTAAAAAAAATATGCCTAAAATAACAATGATGACGATTAAAATAATAAGAATAAAATAAAAATAATACTTACACAATCTGGACACATATTTATGTAAGTCGCCTTTGTCTTTATTAAACAAGGTCCATAAAAATTGTATAATAGAACTGATACTACGACGGCGTAGGTTATTTGCCATACAAGGGAAAAAAATTAAAATAGTTTCTACTTCGTTAACAATAGTTTCAATTAATGTGTTGAATATAGCTTCATATTCACGACCAATATAACAAAATGCTTCGATGAATAATGGAATTTGAGAAAGTGTCTGAGGAATTTCATTATCACCAAGGCTAAATTATTAAATAGTAATTGATAATTAAATAATGGTTATTGATAGTAAATTTATTAAATTTTACTTAAGAAAAAAAAGTTATTAATTTAAACAAATACCCTGAAATGGCCCAAATTTTCGGGTTAAGAAGCTCTTGATATATTTTTTGAACAGCAATTTCCCCAATAACTTTTTTTGCTAGCGAAGCAAAATAACCAAGACCATTGATTGCAATGGAAATATCTTTTGTTTTCTGAATGTCATGCTTATCGATTATAGTTGATTTACAAGAATTCCATATATCAACAAATGTAAGGAAAAAAAACTAGATCATTAAAAAAAAATTTTTAATTAATTAAATTTTAGATGGAGACCAAGAGTGCAAATGAAACCGGAAAACATCACCGGGCGAATCTAGAATATTAATTTTACCTCTACACATTGACTAGTAATGTAATCATCAATTGGATCTGATTCTAAGATATTTGCTAACTGATTAATAATATATATGAGATAATTAATTTTATTGCTTTTATTAATTGTAAAAAGTATAAATATATATAAAAACATACTTGTTTCAAAAATATCCCTATTGCAGTAGTTGAATTGTTTCTGATGTCGGCGTTTTTATGTTCACGACATTGCCATAGAGATGTCCATAATTCATTGTAGTATTGGATATAATACTTTTTGAACATTTCAAAATGGTCAATGATAAAATTAAATCCAGCTGAATAAATATTGATTGTAGAAATTAATATTATAATATATTGATTAGAATATAATATGCTATGATATGCTAATTAATAAAAGATCAAAGAAAAGCCCTTTACTTCTAGCAATATCATATCTTTTTTCATCTTCAATACTGCTGATGCTCCGCAAAACTGTTTGGAATACATATAATTTTTGTTTCTCTAAAACAGAATGTGGGATTAATGTGACGTCAGGTGTGATGCGGAAAAAAACAAAAGTTAAACAAATAAATAAATCAAAAAATAATTGATACCTTGATTTAACAAATGAGGAAATCCAAATAGAAACAAATGAAGACCTCTAAAAGCCAAATCAGAATATTCAGTTGATTCCAAATTATTGATGAAAACGCGGAAAATATTGGCGCTATCAGTCTCTGCGTATTCTGTGAATCGTCTTGATATGATTCCCAACAACGAAAAAAATCCAGACATCACTTTTAACAAAATAAAAACGTAAAGGTTAATTTAATCATTGATTTATATAATATACAAACAGCAATGGTGATTAATTGGTTGATGGATGGATGTGATTGATTGATTACCTTTAAGGCTTCTAAATTTTGCTGACCTAACGAAAAAACTTTCAAGGCATCTAAATGGAAATGAAAAAATATGAAATTAGAAATCAAAAATCAAAAATCAAAAATCAATCAAAAATCAACAATTAAACATATGATATTTTACTGCTTGATTATTTTTTTGATATCTAATTTTACAGGATCGACGATTCTTCGTTCGAAATCAAGCATTACAATTAATGGTTTAAATGATGCTGCTTTCACATGAGCATCCGAATCATTATGTAAAATAGAATAACACATATCCTAAAATATATAAACATTCAGAATAATAATTATTATTTGTTATTCATTAAAATTGATTCTCGATATACATATTTACATGTTTATGTTTATTTATTAAAATTTTATACCTTGATTTTAATGTAAACATTTTGAGAATTTGGAGTGATCTTTTCGATATAAAGAGAAATGAATTCTAAGAAAGCAATTTTGAGCTTGACAAGATTTGGATCATTGACACCAATAGTTTTAATCAGGAATTTCACAATTCCTTCATCAGACTCAAATAAGTAATCAGTTGCAATACCTCAAAATTGAATTAATTATAATAAATTATTTTTTGATTAATTAGTTAAAAACACTTTATTTTTGTTTGCTTATTTATTTATTTTACAATCCAATTTTGCATTATTTATATCATAAAATATAAAAACAACTATAATGATAATAAATACCATATTCTTCGACTTTGAGTTCGTTAAAAACAATTTTTTCCAAGTTTTGACAATAAATCAAATTATCTTGATCATAAGTGCTGCTACGGTTGGAAGCTTGAATTACTTCTTGTCTGTATTCAGAAATTTCTTGTAAAGATTTTTGAATTCTATCGAGTGCGTTCATTTTTATCAGTGTTTGTAACTTTTATAGAAGTGAGTTATTTATTGTTTTGAAGTACAATATTGTGACCCCAAATCACAAAAACCAACCCTGAAATTTAATCTATTACAATTAATTTCACACGCGCAGGGACAATGGCTTCTGCGTTTTGCAGGAAACCGCAGAAACTTTTAAACGCCCACATAATTGCGCAGAACTATATAGTGTGTGAATATGCGAAATCTGTAGGTGTAACATTATTATCCATTCAATTTTGAATTTCAACAATGTGTAGAATTACAAAATTTTTCAGGGGCGACTTTCACGACTGGCATTAATTTAAGTTTTGGTCTAGATTTGCAGATCAGCATAATTCTGCGATCATTACAATGTAACTCTGGTCAAAATTTTGAAAAAAATCCAACAATTTATGTCGATCGTAACTTATGTTAGTAAAGATTTACAGAATTTGATTATCACGGTATTGTCACCACAGAAAATCATCGTCCCTGCACACGCGTTAGTTTGACTTTTTTTGTTATTGCATCATTGTTTATATATTAAAAAAAGATTAATTGTCTGAGGAAAAAAGTCTGTGAAAGCTTTCCTAATCTGAAAAACTAAGAAGCAAATAGAAATGATCCTCAATATATATATTTAATTTTTAGGGAAATCAATTTAAGGGTACAAAAAGGCACCCCATCAGGTACACGTATTAGAGTTCCAAAAAATTTATTTTTATGAAAGATAATAATAAATGTATAATAAATGTATAACAATAAATAGAAATCTAATAATTAATATTTAATATAAACTGAGCTATTAATATATGTTTGTATATATGTTTGTATGTTATAAAATAATTACTAGTAATATAAATAGTATATAAATATGGTAATTTTTTTATATAATGATTCCCAAAATCCCCAAATAATTAAATAAATTAAAGAAATAAAAAATTAAATTAAATTAAATTAATTAAATAAAATAAAATTACTAATCCACGAACCTGTACAAATCATTAAAAAAATATCGAATATTAGATATATGATATTTAAAAAATAACAACAATAAAATGCATAATGACTTTTTATTACCTTTCTTAATCATATCCATTATGTAATGCCATAAATCTATCTTTTTCAAAATTAGTTCTATTTGCATATTCATACCCATTCAAATTAGTAATGCTAGCTGTTTGAGATACTCTTCCATTTTCAACAAGTTTTAATGAGAAAACTTCTGAACTGTCCGACTCGGGATCATTTGTGACTACTAGTATTCGTCCTCGAGAATCACAAAGGCAACGTAAATTATGACCTTCAATAATCTGTTCAAGAAGACCTGAATCTGCATGACGAACTTCAATAAAATTTGGTTCAAAAGCAAGTATATATGGATAGTGTAAAGCTAAATAATTTACAAACAATAATAATAATATTTAATATAAATATAACTTTTGAGTTTCACATTCAAACAATGATGATGATGTAATATGTGTTACCAAATGAAGTCGGTATTCCTTCCCAACATATTAGAAAATCTTCTCTTGTACGATATCCATCCTTATTTACAAAGAATGCAAATTCTATCCAAATAAAAAAAAAATTAAATAAAATATTTGTTATTAAATTAAATCAAAATTATATTTCATAAAAAGATCAGCTCACCATCATAACACAATAAAAATTTTCCACCACTTATACGATAAATTGCTATAGGTTTAATATTTTCTTTTTTTTGTACAAAATCCAACGTAGTATCATTTGGATTTAATAAAGCTTGTGTATCTGAAGAGTTTATATCTACCATCTCAAACCCTTTAGCACATCCAACACACAACCTTTTACTAAGAAAATGTATTGAAGTTGATGGTGTAGGTATGCAAAATTCCTGGATTTATTTTTTTTGTTTAAAATTATATTTTTTGAAAAAATAGTAATAATAATAATAATAATTATTACTATTATTATTATTATTTAGTTTATAAATCATTAACTACTTAAATACCTTGTATAATTTAAGGGGATCGTTTACTTTTAAGAAATCTTTAAACATTCCTTTGTTTTTGTTAACCTTGATTTGTTCAGGTTCAAATAGTCTAATAGTTGAATTAAGAGCATTTGACCGTACAACTGATACGAGTTGTTTATTGAGACAAGTACCTGACTTGAAAAAATTAGCATGAGTAATAATCTTCCTTGAACGTTTACTGGCCTGAGTGGCATCATTTGGATCCAATACTTCCATAGGATAAGTATAAAAATTTTTATCTATATTAAATAAATAAAATTTTTAATTATTATTAAAAAGCCCTAATTAACAGATTAAATTTTTTTAATGTGTCCAAATTCACCTGCCAACACTAATAATAATCGATAATCTTCGAGAATATCAATTTGAGAAACTCTTTCCATTTTTAATATTTGAACTACATTTTTAGCATCTTGACCAATTACATGCACATAAACTCCATTGTCTGTACCAAGAGCTAATTTACGATAATGATCTACCAGAAAAAAAATTCAGAAATTAATTATTACAAAAATTAATGAAAATTCCTCTTCAACAATAACGACTATTTAAATCAATTTACCAAAAAAACATGCACAATTTATATTATTTGATCCAATAAAAACTTTTTTGCCTAACAGCACAGTCTTTTCAAACACCTTTGTCTCTTCATTTAAATGGTCTTTTTGTTTATAAATGTTCTGAATCCAATTCTTTCGAACAAAAGGTGTTGATGCATATAATGTTATTGAATATCCTCTCCTTCCGAGATAAGTAAAATTTATTGAAAGGTCAGTTCCTTTTTGTGAATTGTTTGGATTTTTAACTTGTAAAAGAGATTGAGGTATTTTACGGCTTCCTTCTGTTGCCCCTTCTTTGACAAGAAGACTCAAAAACCCTAGAGGAATTGGCTATTAAATAATTAATAAAATAAGTAAATATAAATATACATGGATATAAATTTAATATAAAAAGATAGTTTATATACTATTATATATATGATAGTTTAATTACCCTTCTGTAAATTCTATATTGTTCAACTTTACTAACAATTTTTGTTTTTACCATCAACAAAACATGGTCAAATAAAAACACTTGTATATCAGAATTGTCAGTTTTTTTTTTCAAAGCACCTCTAAAAATTATTTGTCGTCCTTCTGCGGTGAGATTTAATTCCTGTCAAAGATAATGTTAATTAATTAATACAAGAAAATCAATTGCTTGAAAATAAAAATCAATATATATTTTACCTCGTGTTCTGTTCCTTTAAGAGCTAGTTGATCGTTTAATTGTTGTAAATGAAATCTATTCTCTGATTTACCAGATTCCACATTAACCCTTGATAAAAATTTTTTAATTATAGTAATAACTTTTTGCAAATTAACACGATCATCATTATCTCTTGGAGTTTGTTTGAGAACAGCTTCAAGTAGCAATGGGTATCGACCAAGACGTGTAGTAGGTTTTGTAAGGTATCCATTAAGTTCTAATTTTCTTGATTCAGGACGACGTTCAGCATCCTTTTTGTAGACAAATTAAAAAATTAATTTATAAAATAATAACAATGATGATGATGACGACGATGAGGACGACAATGATGATAAATACTTCAACAAATTTGGAAAATGCTTGATTAATACATTTTTCCCTTTCAAATTCATATCTTCCCCATATTTGATGAGCGCCATATCTAATAAAAGGCTCAAATAATGTAACGTATTCTAAAAAAATATCGCCAATTCGTCCAACAATCGCATATGAATTTTGACGTTTTTGTAATGCATCGGCTAATTGTGAATTGACATTATAAATTTCCATAATATTATGAAAAACATCTCGAATAAATTTTTCTCGTCGAAACTCGGGAATAATATTTTGTGCTAAAAGTGGCGTTATCCAACACTATATGAAAATAGAATAGAAGAATATCAATATTGATATCATTAAATAATCATTATCGTTAATATATAGACACACATATATATAACCCACATTTTTTAAATATTCTATGTCACGAACAAAATCTTTTTCGGTATATATCACTTCGTTTATAGCTTCTTGACGCTTCTTTTCTTGATCTGATACTGAGTTTGCAATTTCTGGGGGTACTGAATGAATCCATAATTTTTGATCCTTATGAATAAATAATTATGAATAAAGTAATTATAAAATCTTGTATAGATAGATGTGTATATGTATATATGACAATGTACAAATTTTCTGGAAAAATAATTTTTATTCGAAATTTAAAATATTAACGTTACCTTTTTGTCTGATAATGAACCGCGACTAAGAGAACGTTTTGGCTTCATGTTTTTTCTTGTATGCTATATAATTTAATATATATATATATATATAAATTAAATAATTAAAAATAAAGAATGACTTCCTTTATTTTGAGATATATAGATGTTGTGTTATGATTTCCTAAAACAAATATAATTACAAGTATACACACTTGTTCCAACCTCCTTGGACATGCAATGCTATAGCATAAGCTATCTTTGGTGCATGTTGGTGAGTAGCAATCGGTTAATAACGTGAAGACACCATTTGGTAAATCATCTGCATCATCATCATCATCGTCAATAATACCATTATTAAACTCATCATAATCATCGTAATTATCAGGTGATAAAATAGAAGGCATTTTGCTAAATTGATACAACTCATTTGGAGAATCTCGAAGACGGTGGTCATAAGTTACATCATGAAAAAATTTTTGAGAATCTAAGGCACGTCCAAGTAATAATGCCAAGTTTCTATCTGTAGTTTTAATTATAAATGCTATTTTATCCTTAAAAATAAAAATAAAAATATTAATATTATCTTTTATTAATGTATATTTATTAATACAAATATATATAAATAATATAAGAAAAATTATATTAAATATATCTATATATGCGTATGTATGTATATATACCACAGCTTCTCTACCATCAAAACAAAAATTATACTCTATATCATCTTTCATTCTATTTGACAGAATGACTCTGGCTCGAAATGCTTCAGCAACTCTTGATATTAATGCAGGATATACAATGGGAACGGGATGCTTTGATGCAGTTGATAAAGGTGAGGAGGGAGGAGGATTTGGTTCCATATAAATAATAAATGGCGATGGTTCTGGATAAGAATGTGAACGATACCGATGATCTGTTCTTGAATGAAGTGGTGAGGATACCTTTGGTCTCTCACGAAAACTTACTGCAGTTCTTCTTGGCATGATCATATCATTTGAATAATTTGGAGGTATAGCAAGGTTCGGAAAAGACATCGTATATTGAATTTTTTGGTCTAAAGAAGAAAATGAGAAAGCGAACGAAATTTTTTTGAATTTGGTAATAGAAAAACGAGGGTGTTAAAAAAATAGGGAGTGAAATAAAATAATAAAAATACGGTATGTCACAAAGCAAATGATATATATATATATATATTAATAAATGGGGCATGCTTGCAACAAAGTGGAAATTGTATTACCAAGAATTTCAGGGATCAAAATTTAGTCATTTGTAGTGTGATCATGTGATATTCATCTAGACTCATCTACATTAGTATTAGATCTAAAAAATATAGAAGTCACTTTCTGCTCTATCTTTTAAAAAAATAGCTCTACTAGTTGATAGAATAGGTCTTTAACGTTAATGTAATATGAGATATTCTCAAAAAAATTATTTGTTGTAGAGTTCTATTCTTTTTTAGTACATGTATTTTACTATGTAGGGCTTCTATTCGAATAAAATGAACGATAATAATAAAATTAATAATAATAATTCGAATAATCCAATCCAATTAAAAAAATTTTTCTTGTCACCTATTTTTCCTTAGTCTTTGAATATAGTGATAATAATAAATGGTAGTAGCAGACATTTTCCTTAAGTCATAGTACTAGCAATTATAGTAGTAATATAGATTATAAATATAAATATTGCTTATATTATCTTGTTAAAGAAATAAGACCTATATTTTATAAAATGAATAAACTAGTAATTGAACAAAAACGGATAAAACGAATAAAACGAATAATTCGAATTAAAGATTGACTGTATTACGAATAATTCGGAGGTATTATTTGATGGGTTTGAGAATTATCGCATTCCATCTTCATGGCAAGTTGTTGACTATTAACAATTGTTGATGATTTATATCCATTTGCATGGGTGATTATAATTTATTTATATTAAACTACAGAAATCACAATAGATGTCTATGTGATGGACCTTGGACTTGGACCGCTAACATTGATCAATTATCACATTTTGTGATAAATTAATTGGTTGATCCAAAAAAACAATAATTGTGAAAATCGATAAAATTCTGGATGTTAAAAACCAAGTAGCAGTAGAAACATCGTCATATTCAGCACTAAAAATTTACTTCATTTTAATCACCATCAGGATAGTTATTATTATTATTATTTGTATTAATAATAATTTCACGCACAAGATGTTGGATTTTCTAGCGAGCAGCAGATAAAGAATCAATAGTAGAAATAAATTAAGCCAGATCTTAAAAATTGCTTTTAATATTAAAAATATCTATTATTAGTAAAAAAAAATTTTTTTCACTACATTTGTTTGGACATCTAATACATTTTTAATTAAAATTCAAAAAAAGACATTGTAATTAAATATATTTTTTGAATGATCATGGAAATTTTACACAATTGAGGATATTTATAAAAATTTAGCCAAAATTTATTGATTTGAAAGTTAAATTGTTATATGCCTTTCATGATATTAAAGGCTTTAATTAAAAATTATTTCATCTTTGAATTGCATCATGTATATGATGTAAGTATTGGAAGCCGCCTTGCCCACTCTCTCAATGCCCACATCAATTATTTTCGCCTTTTGTTTATCAGAGTCAATAATTATTCTTTGTGATGTGAAGGTGTTTCCAATGACAACTTCATATTAACATGCCCAAGATTTGTCCACATGCCGTAATCATTCTTTAAAAATAATTTACATTTAGACTCTATTAGCTGAGTGATGGTCTGTTCTAATTCACTTGCTTGCTCATGTTTTTGCAATGATGATGACCTGGAATAAACTATTTCTCCGGGAACTTGAAGCCTTGCGTTAATTTGCGCTTGAGACATCATTACCTCTTCTTCCAACATCTTGTTTATATAATATAATCATTTCAAGCAAAAAAAATTTCAAGGATCAACTTAATATTAGCCCCAGAAATATTACAATGATGTACTTTTCAATTAAAAAGTTAGATACTTTTGTAAAGCTAATAAATAACACACGCACACATACATTACATACAATGCATGATGTTTTATTTAAACTATTTCTTTTAACACATCCGTTCTTAACTCTCAGATTGGTTAAATAACTTGGTATGAGAGTTAGATAAGGTCATTCAGTTTTTTTTTCCCACAGCATTTATTTACACCTTGGTTTAGACTTCAATAGAAAAAGTGAATTTTACACATAGAGGAGCTGCCTCTAGATCTTGTGTTAAAGCAAATCCTAATAAACCTACTGAAGAGCTTTATTTTACCAACAAGTCCTGCTCCATGTTTTGATTTCAACAAAATAAAGGCAAAAAATTGCACCTCTGGTCATTAATAAACAACATGTCCTCTTCCCTATATCTTTCAGAACAAGCCATACCAAACAACATTCATGTTCCTTATCTTTGGACTTTTTGTAAAAAATTAATTGCTTTTCCAAAAAAAAAATAATAATAATAGTGCAACCATCGCATAAATTGTTGTGTATATTAGTAATGTTGATCAACAATAATAATTTTTCTTTAAAAGAAAAATTAAAAATACAAAGAAAAGAGTCAAAAGGAAAAACATTGAAGAAAAGAAATGGTATCATTCATTCATTTAGGATGGTTAGCTTGATCGTCAAATAGTACGAAAGTGTGATAATGAATGTAGATTAACCACGTGAGCAATAAGGTAATGACATAATAAGCTTTTAAATTTATTGGGAATTTTCGCTTCTTGTTTGTATTAACAAAAGAATACATACAACCCAACCAAATCAGTGCAACATACTTTGTAACAATTTAGAAAAGATTGACAATGTTTTGATAATATTTAGAAAGGATTGGCAACGATGCGGAAATTTTCGAAAATTTCGTTCACAAACTATATAGTAATAATCTGTGTGGTATTTTTTCTAAAGATTAAATATTACTCAATTTGTAAATCAAGAAAATAGAATCTATGGGGTTTATTGTTTGTTGTTGCATTTTCTCACGATGGAACCCAAATTGGGAATTTCACATTATACTAATTTAATACTAGTTAAAAGATCTGCAATCAAAATTTTTCAGATATTGTTGTTGTTGCTTTTTAAATTCATATAAAATTAATTAATTCCAATTCACCACAAAATTTCAAAAAAAAAATGGCCGTTCAAAGTTATGATGTAGCGGTGTCTTTATTTAATATGATTTTAGATATATTTTTTCGTGAAATAAGACCTCGTAATTCACATAAAATACCAAAGGAAGGTCCTATAATTTTTGTTGCAGCACCTCATGCAAATCAGGTAAAAATGCCAATTATTAAAAAAAAAGTTGGTTCAATAAAAACTACCAAAAAAAAGGAAGGAATACTTCTCCAAATGCACTACTGCTCACCAATAAAAGCTATATTAGAAAACTTTCGAGATTTATGTGCGTATACAAAAGTTGAAATCTACGTTACCATTATATTTATATATATGTATTTATTAAGTTTGATATTGATTTGTTTTTAACTATTTGTTTTATCAAATCAATCAATATATTGGATTGTGATACATGGTGTTTGGGCGGGAATAAAAATCTAGCAAAATTATTTTGTAAATGGATAGATTTATACGGAAATATTGAAAAATCTTGAAATTTTATTAATTAGTTATTAATTGATTTCATTAATTTATTATTAACCTAACTTGTTTTTTTATATTGTATAATTTTATATATATATCAACCAGTTTGTTGATCCACTTATTTTGATGAGACATTGTCAACGTCGTGTTTCATTTTTAATAGCAGAAAAATCAATGCGACGTAGATTCATCGGCACAATGGCTCGTGCGCTTAATGCTAGTAAATATCTAAACTCATGGGGTTATTTAACTTGATTTTCTAAATATTTCATAAATTAAATATGTATTTATATATATATATATATATATATATATTTGTCAGTTCCAGTAATAAGACCTCAAGATTTAAAAAGAAGTGGAAAAGGAAGAATTCAACTTTTAAATCGTAAATCAGAACCTACACATATTATTGGAATGAAAACAGAATTTACAAAACAATTAAAAGTTGGATGGCGTATCTCCCTTCCACAAGATCTAGGGTCCTCTGAAGTCTTGGAAATAATATCTGACACTGAATTATTACTGAAAAAAGAAATTAAGGATCTAAGAGCTTTAGAGGTATTGACATGTTCTGAAGGAACTGCATATTATTGTGTACCTTGTGTTGATCAAAGTAAAGTATATAATGCTGTTTTTGAAAGATTAAATGCTGGTCATTGTATTGGGATTTTTCCTGAAGGTGGAAGTCATGATCGTACAGAGATTCTTCCACTTAAAGGTAAATTAAAAGTGCAGATATTTATTTAGTTTGTGATTATTTATTATAAATAATAGCACTTTTGTTATAATCATTAGCTGGTGTCACAGTAATGGCTCTTGGTGCGATTGTTGCTAATCCTAAACTTGATGTTAAAATTGTTCCCTGTGGTTTGTAAATCTATTTATTCTAAATTTTCAATAATAACATTATCATTTATAATTATGATAATCTTACCGTTATTTTATCTAGGTTTAAATTATTTTCATGCCCATAGTTTTCGTTCTCGTGCTGTTGTAGAATTTGGAGAGCCTATTTCTATACCGAATGATCTGGTAGAGAAATTTAAAGAAGGCGGTCCCTCTAAAAGAGAAGCATGTTCTAAACTATTAGAAACTATTTATGATGGATTAAAATCTGTGACTGTAAACACACCAGATTACGAAACATTAATGGTATTACTAATAAATAAATTACGCATGTAAAAGTATATGTATGGATTAATAGAAGTATTTAATTAGTAATATTATTATTCTTTTACACAAGTTTATTCAAGCTGGACGTCGTTTATACAAACCAGCACATAGGAGGCTACCAATTTCAGGAATTGTAGAATTGAACAGACGATTTATTTATGGGTATGAACATTTTAAAAATGATCCTAGGGTAGAACAGATGCGTAAAGAAATCATGTCGTATGATAAATTATTGAAATACCATGGTTTGAAAGATCATCAAGTCAATAAAACTGTTATGGGCGGTTATCGAGCAGCTGGATTATTTTTTTATAGAGTTATGTTGTTAACAACATGGAGTATTTTGGGATTACCTGGGTAAGAATTGAATTTATATTTATATTTATAATAAAAATGTATGTGCAAATATATTTACTAATATAACAGTTGATCAATTGTTTATTTATTAAAGTTTTATTTTAAATCTGCCAATTGTATTGATTGCACGTAAGATTAGTGATAAGAAAGCAAAAGGTATTTTTATACACATGTTTGATATTATGATCATTATCTATTATACTTGCATACTTTAATAACTTACTTTCAAAATTACATAGAAGCGGTTCTTAATTCATCAATTAAAATAGCAGGCCGTGATGTTCTTGCCACTTGGAAACTTCTAGTTGCATTAGTAGTTACGCCTATTGCATACGGGTTTTATACATTTGTTGTAGTGATTATATCAATTAGAAAAAAATGGATTTTAAAGTGGAAAGTTGTTGCACCGATTGTAACATTTTGTACATTAGTAACAGGAAGTTATGCTACAATGCGAATTCTTGAAAGTGGAGTTGACATTTACAAGTAGGGTTTTATCTATTTGTTAATTAATTAATTAACTATTTATTTATTTATCGGAATTTCTTCCCAAAGATCAATTCGACCTCTTTTTCTCTCATTACTTCCATGGACAAGAACATCTATTCAAAATTTACGCGTTGTACGAGAACAATTGTCAAGCAATTTAACTAATTTAATTAATGAATTGGCGCCTCAACTTTATCCTGATTTTGATGTTGAACGTATAATACAAGCAACTGAAAGATCATCGTCGTCACCACTATCATCGTTATCAAAGAGTATATTCCAACCACCAATTGATTGGATTGATGATATGTTATTTAATTCAGGAGATATATCAGAGTATGATGATGTGCTTTACTTTCTAGAAAAGAGGAATGGTAGCGTATCAGCAGGACGTAGTAGAGCTAGTTCGATCGCTAGTGGTCAAAGTTCAAGACAAAGGAGTCGAACAGTGTCGTCAGAAGCTTTCCGTGTTGAAGCATTCACAAAATTACCCAAGGATAAACTGTTCTCAGAAATACATGAGCGAACTACTACTAACATTGTTTCTGGAAAAATTAATGATAATGATAATAATAATAATAATAATAATGAAGATGATGGGTATCAAGGTGACAAAGAAGATGATAAAATAAACAAAGTTGATTGATTAGAAGAAGCAAAAAATTTTGAAAGCTAATTATTTATTATTTAATGTTATTTAATAATATATATTACTTGTACTTTTTATTGATTTCTTAGAAATACTTAATGTTATTACTATAATTACAAATTAAAAATAAAATTACAATTAAAATGATTTTTTTACATGATAAAATAATTTAAAAGTTAAATATAAAATGTTAAATTTTCAGTTTTTGGTGGTCCGGCTTGTTCAGTAGGATTAGACTTGTAAAGTGTTTTCGTAATTTCTTTCTCAACACAACAATAGGAAGGAATCGATGAAGAAGTTACAAAGGAATTTGCTGTTGATATAGGGCTACCACGATCATAAGAATGTTCAAAATTTGCCGAAAACGTCGCATATGAAGTTTCTGTTGTTGACTGCCCTGTAGGCATGTTATTAGAATTGAAAGGCGTTACCCTTTCCTCTATGATAATAAGATAATAATGATCGGGAATCGAAGAAAAAGTTGTTGTTTGCATGGGATTATAATAAGAAGAATCAAAGGGTGTTACCGTTGACGTGGAGTTATCGCAAAAATCATCAAAAGGAGCTGCAGAAGGAGATTGGAATGGGCAGACTGAACCATGTGTATAA